TTTTTTTTTTCCTGTCCTACACGATCGTCCTATATTGCGACACGATTATTAACTTGCAAATCGAGATTCGATGAACGTTGCGACGTACGGTTAGTCACGATTGCTCGATGAATATGTTAAATTTCAAACTTTGCGAGAGTAACTTGCTTCAACGTGGATTCGACACATTTACCAATTTACAAGCCAACCAATTAAAAGAAGAAAAAAAAATTACTGCAATTCGATAAAATACACGATCGATACCTTGCGTTACTAAATAATCTAGAGTCTTCTGACAAGAAGTCTTCTTGTAAGAAGAACAAACCTCTTTTGGTCAAACAACGATCTACGGCGGAAGCAACGAAAGAATTGAAAAGATTTGCAAACGTCTCGAATCCTGTGAGGATTAAGATTAATTCCTTCGCGAGTTATCAAAAGGAATTCGAGTTATAAAAAAAGACTAAACTAGGAATTCGCAAAATACTGAAATATTAAATATTTTTTCGCGATTGACGCGTTGGAATTTAGTCTGTCTGGAACAAAAAAAAAAAAAGAAAGAAAATACCCCGGGAATCTTTAATTCAACAGGAGGAGAACTGCAGGCTGAACGTTTAAATTATTCAGGAATAAGTTCCATAAGGGCACTCTGTCTCTCTTTCGTAAATTAGTCGAAGCGTAGCAACGTAATTAAGAAGTTCAGCTATTCCCAAACGACGACGCATGTCGCGCCTTCTTTACAACAGGCCGGTAAGTATCGCCACTTACAAATTTCACAGCCTCGGCGTGCGTTTCGATTTAATGAATTTTAGATTTCAAGATATCGCCCACTAAAACCACTTCCGCTGCTTATTAAAAACTCTCCGTGTCCTCCATCTTGCCCTATATAATCTAAACTCCGCCTCCTTGCCAAGCAAGCGTATTGCGAAATTATTCCTTTTTTTTTTTTTTTTTTTGTTACGCGGGTCAACGTACGATTGCGTTTTATCATTCATCGAAGCCGATTCGGCAAATCTGACGTTTCATCGTCGAAGTTTTTCAGCTTGCTGAAAAAAAAATCGCTTTAGTTCTTTGGCGAGGATTTGTCATCGTCGAAGCTTGCCAACGGGAACACGAATGGGAAAGAGACGAAGGATAACCAAGGAATCAATTCTAAGTTAGCATCGATCGAAGCACACTTGCCATAGTTAGAGAAGTACTGTGATTTTTAACAGGACACTAACGGCATTTCACAGTTGCATCTGCAAATTGAACATTCAGCTACAACAAAGGCTACGTGTGTACATGCGTGAACTTTGAAGCGTTTTAATGCGGGGCACAACAATAAGAAAGCCAAGATGAGCGATGCTGAAAAGAAAAAAGATTGAGATTGAACGATCTTGAAACTGTCTGAAACATCCGTAACAGATAGTCACCGATGAAGAAGAAGAAAGGCTAGAAATTTCTCCCTATATAATGTGTCCTATGTATTCGAACGATTAACCTGGAAAAAAAACAGGTGTCTCCTGCACCGCGCTTGTTCAACTTGTCCTTTGCTCTTTTTCTTTTTCTCTCTGTA